ATACTTACTGTTGTGTGATTTAAAGTGTTTCTGAACACCATCTTTAAATCTGTTACTAGAATTTTTTTAAATGTCAAATGTCAATATGATTTTATTTTTTTTAATTTTTTCATATAATTGCCAGAGGTCACCTTTAAAATTACATTTTGTTATTTTAAAATTTAAAAATATTGAGAAAATAGTCTCTGCACAAGTGCTGAAGTACATGGTAAGTTCCCAACAAATTCTGCAGCCTGTGAAATATTCTCTATTCAAACTGTGTGTATTTCACATACTGAAATGACCTCCAATATTGTCGCAGGTACAGTCTTTATTCAGAGACATTTATTCACACACCAAAGCTTGTCCAACAAGTTATCTCAACTTATGAGTCTTTTGAATATTTCACAGCATTTGAATTATGCACAATTTTATTCTATTCTGGTAAGAAAAATAAATGTTTCCAATTTAAAAATTAATTCAAAAGATTCTGCCCACAATTTAAAGTGTTGTTTCCAATATTTCAATGAGTTTTCAACTTCAAAGACAATTACAGAATTTCAAAATTTAGCCTTACACCCATCGGGACCTCTCATGTTCTTAAAGTCGTGCAGCTCCCCCTTTCTTTTTCAGTTACTGATTTAAATGTCTTCCCACCTGTGCGTTTTAATTCCAATAGCTGCAATTAGCTGAAGACACCAAAGTGTGAGCTTTGGGGTGCTTTGTTCTAGAAAGATTTCAATAGATCCCCCAGCTGGGGGTGAACAAAATGCCACCAACAGATTCAACAGATAAAGGATTCTTTTTACCAAAAGTCACAACAAAACTTTAAAACTGTTATAGGACAGAGTTCGATTACATTGTAGTTTTTCCAAGATTCGAGCATTTCTAAATTCCAACTGATGATGGCTTCACAAATACTCTATAAATACATATAAAAATAAATGCGCTCTCTAAGGTTGAACCTTTTCACAAGATTTACCCTTGAGTTCACACTAATGGCAGATGTTTTCATCTGACAGACTGAAATACCAAAATCTTGAGGACTGAAACCTTAAAAAGGGATCATTCGGGCCCTCCCTGGTGGC